ATTTAGTAAAACCTTTGACTGTTGATACATCCAATAGTCAATAGTAAAACTTATTGGTAGTTTTTTTTATTTAATGGCAATTTTATTTATAAGGAAAATACGCATAATTGGTAAGTAACAAATGATTTTGTAGCAGATTAATACGGATTCTTAAGGTTCTTTATTCATACCCTTTGGCATATTTTAGCAACAATTTCACATCTAAACAACATATTTTCACGAAACATATTACTCAAAACCCATTATCGTTCCACAAGTGTGTGTTACCAGAAACTTCGCACACTTCAGTAATTGGTTTTGAACCTTTACAGAGTAATTGGTGTCTAGGAACAACTTTGGTAAATCGTAATTGAGTTTGGTAACTATATTGGAAATCGCAATTTGTGCTCTATTGTTGTACTGTCAACGTTTATATTTTTTGGAAGCAAAAATTTCGTAAGAGGGAAAAATCTTATTGCAGTTTTCACAGTATGTCCGAAAATGATTAGGCTACAACCAACATTATTACAGTTATAAAATTTATAGTAACTCGCAAGTAGAGAAATTAAAACTACAATAATGTATACAAGTTTATATGCTACTCCTAATTATTATTGGTAAAATATATTATATTAAATTGTAGGTATATTGAAACAAACAGATTATTATCGGTATGGCAGTCCGTCAAGTAGAGATCTCAAGTGCCACTGCAGCTCGGGTTATATCAAGCGCTCAAATCCAACGTTTCAAGAGCTTCATCATCAAATAAAAAATAATACTGCAGGCCTAGTCTAGTGGTGTATTATTATAATATAATCTACGTAATCCTATCATGTTAAAAGTAATACTAATAATATGTACAACTCCTGTAACATACAAATAATTCGTGACTTACATCCGTAGAAATCATAAATAAAGTACAGAATATTGAGATTATTGTGTTCGTTTCTCTTTTCAATAAAGTGTGTTATACATTATTTTCCAGTAAAATTTTTTTTATGTTATTGGCGCAAATAGTGGAAGTAAAGATATAAATATTAAATAGATGGAGGGAAGTGAGGATTTTCAGTTGTGTTAGTATTTTATAGGGTTAGTCAAGTATCAAAATGAACTAGCCTATTAAAATGGGACCATTTATGTTATTTTTACTCCTTCACACATCCATGATTTTTTTACCTGTGTAAATAATATTACAACTACATACACTGACAAACATCTTTGAAAACACTTTTTTTGATTCAGGAGGTACAAAATATTAAAATATCTCTTCTGTAAGTCTGTATTTACGTATATGCATAGCATCAACCCCCCATTTTTATTTCTATAATTCAAATATAATTTTTAGCGAATTTCCCATATACGGAATGAGCTATTATCGTTGGTCTCATGGTAAGACCTGGATCTAGGATCGATTTACTTTTTCGTTTTGAGGCCCCCAGAGGCCAAAAACACCATCCGATCAAATTCAATATACAGTATATGTCCGTTAACGCGATAACTCGAGCAAAAATTGAACGAGTTCACGAACCAGCATAATCGGACAATGGGAACGGGGGTTTGTGTGTGGTTTTTATGGGGTAAAAATTGATTTTCCCATGTTTGATTCTGAAATCACAAAATTGCATAATTTCTCAAACATTTTGTAGAGCTTAAAAAAGAAATAATTTTGTGTACTGAAGCGTTTATTGTATGCCCAACGGTTACAAAGATAAGTTATAAAATTGTAAATTAAAAAATCCCATGTCTTTGGAGAGTAAATAAACTGTTAGTTGTAGTTTGCTTGTTTATACATATATTTTAATCAAATTTGGTTTATTTCATACTAAGCTATCAATATTTGAATTAAAAAAAAAACACTCCTCAATATCTTCCCCTTAGCAGCAAACCTAAGTACTCACTAAAATTAATGTTATTTAATTAGGAAATAAATCTGACATTTTTTAGGGAATATTTTAGTAGAAATCAAGCCTGGTAAATGGAAATTCGATTAGTCTGCAGGTTTGCTGGGGCGGAGGTATTTTACAATGGAAGCCGTAATTGAGGAATATATTACATTTAGCTGAAAGGACTTTTCATATAATATTTTACACATTTATAATGAAAACTCCTAACAATACACTGCTGGGACAGTGATTATTATACAAAGGCCCTGTTCAGCAATATAGGGGCAAGCGTGTGTAGTGGTTATTGTAGAGAGAGAATGCCTAAGCTTTTATAACACTTCTGCTACATCAAATATATTTTTCATACAAAAGGGATTATTACATTACCGTTATATACTCGCTAAAAATTATGTACGATGATATCGAAATAAACAAAAATGGGTCTTTGTGAGTAAATAAATATTGGTGCATTTTAATTTAGCACTTTTTCATCAAATGCGAGTTCCTTTTATTAAATTAACACAGCACGACATCGGTTAGATCATAAAAACGTATTTCAATTATGTAATTGAAATATGCCATTGAAAATTTATTGGCGTTTCATTTAATTGTCATCTATGACAATAAAAACCTTTTCATGTAGCATCCTGTGAAGTGGATCCTGTTATAGAAATTGTTGTTACCAATGTAGTGTCGTCGTTTTTTGTCAGTAGCATGTGTAACGTTTAATGTTCTCACATTCGTACAGAAAACAGTGTAAATTTCAATTTCATTTTCATTTTTGTAATACAAGCTGATGTTTTTCGATCCAGGCCCAAATGATTTGCAATGTTACTTTCCTAATAATCTTTGTTGATTCTAAAATAAATATAAAATAGTCTTTATATGTGCCCCATGAAAAACAACCATCATGTGTCATGTGTTTATTTCCTCAACGAATTTCAGAATATACTTTCAATATAGTTTAATATTTTATCTCATTTTTCATAAGGTTCAACATATTGAGAAAACAATAGCAGAAATGTTTGAAAAATATAAGTTTGATCTTTTAGTTAGCCGTCGATGCTACAAAATGGGATAAATCTGTTGCCTTTAAAAAGAAGAAGAAACATAAAATAATATTGTTATTTTATTTTCAAAATGTTCAATTTCATTTAAGATCAACGAAATAACCTTGCTGTCATCTCTGATCTTGTATACATTCCATGTAGATGTAGTTATGCAATTATGTTAAAATTGCAAAATTATGCAAAATTATGTCTCGGGGACGTAAGCTTAATTCACAGTGCAATTTACATAATAATAATCACAACTATTTTCAATAATTTTTATAAGTGGTTTTTTTTCAATGTTATTTTATTAAAAAATTTTTCATACATTTTTATACACATAAAAAACGTTAAAAATATTAATTTTAAGGTCATGAGACTAACATAAAAATGTAATATTTTCTTTTATTAGTCTACTATTTACCTTCCAGGATTTCAATCCCCCGGCAATCTTCTTCAACTAATTTCGTTCGGCTTCCTCCGATAAATCCGTGATTCATCGTCGCGAACCAATTAAGAACAATCAGTTTTTAATCTTTACCAAAAGAAGGACTTGCATTATTATTTTATACGCTCTTTTTCCAATAAAATCCATACAACATTCATTACTTGTCAGACTTTTTTGGGGTTGATGTGTTGAATCGTAATCGATATTATTTTATTTTGTTACACTAACAAGTAAATAGACGCAAGTATTACAACTGAAACATGCGTTTTCTCATTAAAAAACTTGTAAAAACACAATACTGCATTATAATGACTGGTTATCAATTAATATATATTGTGTAGGATTAGTACCGGGGGCCAAGTCTTGTTTAAATTGGTTAATTAGGTTCAATCGTTAAAACAATATAGTAAACAGACATTTTATAATTTACGAATAACATTTTTATTGCAAACCATAGACATTTGATCGCTGAAATAATAAAAACCATGCAATGTAAAAGTATGAAATTAAACAAAAATAAGAAACACTTTTATGATCTTGTTTAAGTTAAGTTACTCGTACATAATTTTTCTCCCCACTTGTCATTGGAGCCGGGTTTTCGTCTTTTACGCTCACCATGACAGCAGATAAAAATATGATATCTACAAAATCACTTTAGTTTCTGTGACAACGATTTTTCGCTTTTTCACTACTACTTGTATAGAAATAGGGATTCTGTCTGTTTTTAATTTGGATTTAACAAACGGTAATAGTTTTATGCTAACAAAAACCCCCAAATGTAATTAGATTACTTGGAATGCCTCAGTACTTCGGGGATTAAGCTTTGGTGAGAGGGCAAAGTAAATTAATCAATTAATTAATTAAGTTATATGATCAGAACGATTTTATCCTATATCGAGTGATCTTTGCTCAATAATTACAACTGATGCTCTCCCATCGTAATGTTTTTTATGACTTGTTATAAACACATGTGGAACTACACATTTCCACATGTGTACTAGTAATAGTATTTTGTTATGTTTTCCTTGTTATTTTATTCAAACACATAGTTGGAAACCCATAAGGCCAATGTATTTTTTTTGTTCAAATGATTTGTGTAGCGAAATAAGAATTTTCCTGAGGAAGTGGCTGTCACTAATCACGTTTTTAGGGCTATGAGTCCCTAATTAAAAAAATAATAAAAATCCTTCTGCTGGATTTTCATATATATATTACAGACAGACAGACATACATACAGATAGACAAACAGACATATCTCGTAACAGAGTAAAGGATTTGGACAAATTTTCTAGTGAAATTTTATATCTGTATGCTTAAGATTTATAGCTACAGACCTAAGTTCATCTAGGATCTTTTGGTTGGCACTTAAAACTTGTGAATACGCGGTAAGATAAAGTTCCTATGGTTTTGTTCAAACAAAGTTTAAATTTTGACCTTAAAATTAATAGCCCAATACAGTTGTTACTCTAGTAAATACTGAAATGTATTTATCAATGTAAAGCAAACCCCTATCTAAATACATTAACTCATATTATATCATTGTATGTTTTTCTGCTTACGTAACATATACATTATAAACGATGTATGGCAATCTTATCAGTAAATCTTATCGAAATGCATCGCTTCTGTTTTTTACCAACACAGCTGACCATTCAGACAACATGCAGTGGTTGAAAGAAGATGAATTTGATATTAAAGTGTTTTGTGTTGAGTGTAGTCGTGATACGATATGGTATGTGCATAAAATAGTTTTAGTCTGGTGTAGATTATGTGCACTATTTTTGCAAATGTTATTTGTCGTTAGTTTTAACAAAGTAGGGAAAATGTGTTGTCCAATATTTACTAGCTATACAATGCAGTTGTCTGCTTGCAATATTGAGCGGAGATAGTATATTAATCCAATACTTTTTTAAAGTCAATGCTACCATCCAAAGTCAATGGTAAGTCTATTTCACTTAAACGAAATGCCTATTTGCAGTATCCAAAGGAAAGGGTACGTTTATTTATTTACGGTATAACCATTTTACAATAATTTATAATATTACATTCATTTGCTCAAGATGATAAATAGTAAATAATTTGCGACATAATAAATAATAATAATATAACTTAGTCTACTTGCAGTATCCAAAGTCAATGGTACATTTGGTTCACGTCAATGTGATGTCAACTTGCAGTATCTAAAGTTATCGGTTTATTTGGTTTACATAAATGAAATGCCAAAGTCAATGGTAGGTCTATTTCACTTACACGGAATGTTTATTTGCAGTATTCAAAGTTAATGGCACATTTGGTACACATACAGTACAGTAAATGGAATAGCTATTTAAAGAGTATCTAAAGTCAATGGTGCATTAGCCTAATTCCTAATTCCGGTGACCCTAATTAGTTATTCATTAGTAAATTATGCTCAACGATATTAATCAGATTGTTCTTTCCTTTTGTACTGTATTTGAAATGTGTGATTCACTGATTAACATATATTAAGAATTTTTTGTTTTTACCTTTTTATTGAAATCCTGTAAATAATAGAGTGGCAACAAATATGCCTTTAGGCTGATTTGTATCATTTCCGATTTTTACCTTTCCATAGTGGGTAACTGTGCTAAATTTCGTGCGGACCACTTCAGCCGTTCAGGAGGAGTTTGTGGAAAACAAAAGCAGGATTGTAGTATAACAACTTCACTCAATTCTGCTCAATCATATAACCAACTTTTGGAATTCAGGCGATCACTTCCTGCAAACCATGGTTAATCACTGTCGTTTATCATGAAATTATTTTATTAAAAAATAACACTGTAAAAATATTAATCAATAAACAATCTAATAATAGTATGTTTCATTACTAGCGCCTAAAATAACTCTCTAACTTGACGACCGAGGCGAAGCCGAGGGTGGAATGAGCAAGATTGACACTCTTAGCGATCGCCAAACCAGATCCTACTAAATGCCAACTAAATCCTAAAAAACGAAACTGTCATTCTTTGCTCGTACACCTTTGCACCCAAATTTACCTCTGCCTTGTCTTGCCTTTGCATACGAACGTATGTTACTGTTATTTAGAAGCAACACCTACCCATTTACTCCGTGCAGGTATCTTGGGAACAGGTTGGTATCTTGGGACCCTTGGAGACGTACCTTCTTAAAGTAAGAGAGATCCTGCACAAATAGGCTTAAGTAATTTATTATATTGTCTGCTTAGCAGATAATTAGCTGGTACAAAAATTCTAGGGTTAGTTAAATTTAATGATCAGCGTTGATTTGAGCCACATTAATACATATCGTATCTGCCACACTTAATACGCAATCTGCCACACTCAAGAATATTAAGAATATGTATATACAGGTTGGCTGAAAAGTAACTTGCACCCACCCTTAACTTTTCAACCATTTAAGGTTTAATCGGTTTGCGGAAACATTCTTAGATATGAGGGGCTACAATAATTATGGTCAAATTTGAAAATTTTGCCCTCAGAGGTAGCGGGGGTAGGGGGTAGCTCAAAATGTTCAAATAGTAAGTATATTCATCGAGTTTGGTATCATTTTACAGGTCTTGACAAAACAAAACAATTCAAAAATAAAGAAAACCAAAATCGGCCCACTAATAACAAAATGGTGCCCTAAAACGTTTCAAATCCAAATAACCTTGAGGGTAGCTGAAAATTAACTTGTACCCTTTTTATCTTTTTAACTACCTATTTGAGATTTTTGAAATTTGTTTGTGGCAACCTGTTTAGATATGAAGGGCTACAATAATAATGGTTAATTTTAAAAATTTTCCCTTAGGGGTAGTGGGGGTTGGGGGTTGCTTAAAATTGGTTATTTGGATTTGATACGTTTTATGGTGCCATTTTGTTATTAGTGGGCTGATTTTGGTTTTATTTACGTCAATTGTTTAGTATTTTTAAGACCTGTAAAATGATACCAAACTCGACTATACTTGCTATTTGAAAAGTTTGAGTTACCCTCTACCCCCGCTACCTTAATAGGGCAAAATTTTCAAAATCAACTATTATTATTGTATCCCCTCATTTCTATGAAGGTTACCGCAAACTAATTTCAATAATCTCAAAAGGTTCAAAAGTTAAGGGGGGATGCAAGTTACTTTTCAGCCACCCTATACATACATATAGTATATTGAGTGAAATAATATATATCCTGGATTGCTATTCCAAACTATATAATGCATTTATTGTTGTATACAGGTCGAGCGGACTTTCGAATGTTTTTCAATCTGGAACAAGTTAAAGAATACTTCAGAAATGACTCGGTATGTAATAACGTATGACTGAGAACATTATGGTAAATAAACGTATATACTGTGTTATACTATGTAATTGTAATAGAACAACTGGTGGGAGATTTGGGAAAATACCTCGTTGCTTACTATGTGATACCGGTGACACGCTCCTTTATTCATATTATATTTGGAGTAAAGAGCTGCGGTCCATATAAAGCAGATGACTTTGGTAATAGTGTCATTTAACTAAAATATTCATTCCACTCATCCCAGTTATGTTTCCTTCTATTGAACAGTAAAATATTACAATTAACCATGAAAAATCCCTGAATGTTGAACAATATTATACTGTCAATTCCAAAACCACCGTAATCCTCAAAGGACTAACTGCAATACACTCTTTGGTTATAGGCCTTGGAGAGACACGTGTTTGCTCGCTGAGCTTACATAACTTCTAATAGGTTAGGAAAAGGTTTGAAGTAACTTTACAAGTGGAAGAGATGCCTTGGACACATATACTTAACCACATTTATTTCTCGTTATCTAGCCTTACCAAAAGCAAAATTAAAAATCATTACTAAAATGGCCTCCTCTAGGCCTACGGCAGAGGAGCGGTAGAGGAAGGTACACGGCTATTAAGAACAAAACAATACGTCTTGGGAACACTAAATGCTTAAATGCTTTTAAATGAAAGTGGTGGAAGCGGTCCAAACATCTCAAATGTTTGTTGATATACCAGGGATTTACGCTGCCACTCTTGCACCTAAGTCCAAGCCGTTTGTCTCTTATCAACTAACTCAACCATTGTTCAAAGACAAACACAATGTGAATAATACCAATACATTATACGAGTAAGGTGCCAAATAGATTTAACTTCCTTAATTCCTGTGGTTTTAACAGGGTAAAATCTAACTAACACATTCTGTTAGACCATGTTGTTGGTTATTATAAAACTCTAACTCCAAATCGTGATGTAGACGTCAGTAGCTAAATTTAATTTGATTAAATCATGTTTTTAGAGCTTGTTGGCCAACGACATCCTGTACACTTTCGAACACGAATGTTGCTCCATGGAGGAGAAGTCCATTTCGAAGGACCGCAGGCCTTTCATTGTTGTGGAGGGAAATCACAGGAAAAGTAAGCTAATGAAGTTGGTTATCGGTAATATATCATCAGTAATATATATCAATAGTATATATTTTAAGTATGTAACGATTTGGTGTTAATAGGCCAAACAGTAGATTTTTTATTAACGTTATTTTATAGAAATTTGTATTATGTATATTATTTGAAATGTGATTTTAGAAAGAATTTCCCATACTTCAAAAATGTGAAAATAATTTCAAGTATTATTTATGAGTCTTTATTTTACTTTGTTTGTATTCAAGTGATATTATTCATACGCATGAAACATATATATATATATATACATATAAAATAAAATAATTACTAAAAGGGTACTTTGTTAAATATGATTTTGATTTTTATTATATTAGTAGCCCTAAAAATGCAAGAAAATAATATATATATATATATATATATATATATATATATATTTATTAATAATATATACTTATATTATAGAGTTGACAGACGAATACATACATTATAATAATACATTACATAATAATACATTACATGCATACATTATAATAATACATTATATTGTACTGAGCTGTTTGGATTAATACAATGAAGACGCCCCAGCAAAGTAGGAATAGCTTGGAACAGCGTTGAGCGTATAGGGAGTGCACTTATGTGTAAGGTGAAATCAAAGCCTGGTAGAACACGCTCTCTTTTTCTATTTATCTTTTTGTATGGTCTTTATTCTCTATTTTGCTTATTTTGAAATATAATACGCTTAGAATTTTTCATTCCATTTATGAAAAGTGGAAAAGGACATTTATTTGAATAAATAAAATATTGATCTAACTATATTTAAACGAGTTAATAGGTATTCCAGACATAAATCATGCTAATTTATGTAAATAGTCGATGTCATAGAGTTGAAGTTAAATCGTCTACTAAACTTGAAAGATTATCAGAGCTAGCTCTCTGGAAATGGTTTGTAGTTAGTTGCAAAATTTAAGTTAGACACTACTTGAATCTCAATTCCACGTCGGGTCTGGGTACCAATTCAAAAGCAATTGTAAGGCAACAATAGAAAGTAAGGATTATTGTGAAAAACGTAAATAATCCATTAAAAAAATGGTGTTTAAAAAAATATAATATCTAATAATCTAAGAATGTTTTCTAGATTTTATAGGATACATTATATAGCCTAGTATCAGTCGATAAATATATGTTTGATAGTGATTTTCTCCGTATTCAATAATTGTACAAAAACACTTAAGTACACTAAATACCTGTTTTTTAAGAAGTACAATAAGGAAAAAAAATATTAAGTATAAATTTTTATTGTAATTTTTTTATTTGCGGTCACAGGAAGTAGTGATAAAAAAAACAAGTGGACATTTAGTTTGAAATGTATTAAACTTTCATTCAAATTGCTTTGAACACATGTGATTCAAAAGACAGAGTAGTAAAAGGATCCCTTTTCTCTCAAAGTACGAATCTATGTTTCCATTAAAATCCCTTTACCGTGCAACCATTCCTTTCAGCTATCTATCGCATATTTGTTTTATCCTCTCCCATAAAAGTTTAAATTCGACACCCTTAATTTGTAGCACAGGCACACCAATCAACGCCGTTCTTTAATAATTGGATATTGACGTTTGTTTTCAAGACGTGTTTTATTGTTGTATCTTATACAGTTTTAGTGTCATATATCACACCAGTCATGTGAGTAAATACAATACGATATAAGAGAATTCCAAACCACAAAAAGTATTTTCTTCAGATTGCATTTTGTCAAAGTGTCAAGCATACTGAATGTTATTACTAAATACCCCCTGCCGCAGCAAACCTGCCGACTAAGCGAATTTCCATTTGTCTGAATTTTGATTTTCAGTTAAATATATTTTAATAACATTAGGTTTAACGAGTACCTAGATTTGCTGCTACAAGGAAACTAATAAAGTGTGTTTTTGAGTAAAATATTGATAGCTTAGTACAAAATAAATAAATTTGCCAAGTTTGATCAAAATATATCCATAAACAAGCAAACTACAACATTTGGCAATATTCTCCATAAGAATAACATGGGAATTTTAAATTAACAATTTTTTTAATTTTCTCCGTTACTAACAATCGAACAAAAATTCTTTTACATACTAAATTATTTGTTTTTTTTAAACTCTTTAAAAAGGTCTAAAGAGAAATCGGGAAATTTTGTATTTTGAGGGTCAAAAGTGAGAAAAACCAATTTTTACCCCCATAAAACACCCCGTAAAGCCCCGTTCCCATGGTCCGATCGTGCTGGTTCGCGAACTCATTCAAGTTTATCCCGCTTTACACCTTTAAACTAAATTTCATCAAAATCGGACAAAAATTACTCAAGTTATCGCATTCACGGACGTATATATATCTTACTAATATTATAAATGAGAAAGTTTAGATGTATGGATGTATGGATGTATGGATGTATGTTTGTGACAAGTGAACGCGAAAAATACTGGTCGGATTGGGCTGAAATTTGGCATGATGATAGCTCACATTCCCGATTAACATCTTACTAATATTATAAATGAGAAAGTTTAGATGTATGGATGTATGGATGTATGGATGTATGTTTGTGACAAGTGAACGCGAAAAATACTGGTCGGATTGGGCTGAAATTTGGCATGATGATAGCTCACATTCCCGATTAACATATAGGCATATTCTTATTTCAAAAATCCTTTCGGGCTCCGCCCCAGTGGCTCTGGAGTTTCCCATGTTAACCTTATGAGAAATGGAATTATTGAATCTTATCAGCTGTTTCAATTAAACAAGTTGGTTCTGTTCTATGATGTTCAATAGCATTAAAGTTACAAGGATTACCAACAGGGTTCAGCACTATTATTTCTTTTACATTTATGACAACAGCTAATTTGCAACCAAAAGGTGAGTGAGCGTAGCGAACGAACTTCAACCTGAAGGCAAGTGAGCGCAGCGAACGAGCTCCAACCTAAAGGTGAGTGAGCGTAGCGAACGAGCTCCAACCTAAAGGTGAGTGAGCGTAGCGAACAAACTTCAACCAGGACCTGATTGAGCCATGCGAACGAGATAATCTTGAAAATTAAGAAGTTAAACGGGGCAAAGCCCGCGGGTTACAGCTAGTATATATATATATAAACTTGAACGAATGGTGTTTTTGGCCTCTGGGGACATCAAAATAAAAAAGTAAATTGGTCCCGGGTCTAGGTCTTACCGTGCCACCTACGGTAATAGCTACTTCCCTATAGGGAAATTCGCTAAAAGGAGCTTAGCGTTATTTTTTGTTAATTTTATAAACAACTGAAATATCATAATATTTTATCGCTTACGTTGTTATCCCCTAAGTATTTTTATTAAAGTTGGAGTGTAACTATTTCGTCATCAAGTCCCAAAAGAAAATATTTTAATATTCTTTGTTGACATCGACAAATTTTTAAACAACAGTGTCAACATATTTATATTTTAATTAAACCCTTATATTTTATTCATACTCAATATTTTCTAAAATTCGTATTAGACCCATTTCAAACATTTCTAATTTTTCAAATTAAATCAAATATAAATTTCAATACAAGGGACATTTCGAATGGCACTGACGACAGCAGATCTAAAGAACAACATTATTATGTTACACCGACGCGAAGCATACAGCTCGTAATTATTAAAATATTCTTCTCAAATATCTACCTTTGGACACATGATCTCTCACATTTCCCACTTGTTACATTACACTATTTCTACTTTACTTGTACCTCTAACATTTTACATCCCAAGTTTCATTACTTGTGATGACCCATATGTACCTTATGTTCAAAAAAGGCTTAACTTGCTGATGACTATAGGGTACATTACATATACATCATATTAATCTTACGTGTCACCATTACATACATCACGGACATTGAATTGGAGTTTTACCACCTGTTATATTACTATGTTGATAGAAAAAGATTTGTCCAATAGGATACTATATCACATGTACGTGACTGAAATGCTTTTTTATCTTTACATCCAGAAAAATTTCATTATAAGCTACTTACTACTGCTTGATCACGCTCTAGTCCAGGACCTGACTAGAGTTCTGTGTGCATGTCGTGTATAGAGAATTTTGCTTTTGCATTTCAATATGGGTGTCTTAGGAAGTGTTTTCCACTCGGGTGTCAAGTTCGCACCTGGTACGTTTTCGAGCTATGACGTCATCAAAATGGCGGCCATTGATATTTTTAAAACCGTATATTTCGCAAACTATTTGTCGGATCGGAATGAATTTTTTTTTTGAAAGATAATTTTAAATGCTACCTGTTTTACATTTACACATTTGTTGTGTGTTTAGTGCATTCTTCGTAATTTTGCAAAAACCTGTATTTTTCAATATTTTTGAGTTATTTTTGTTTGTAACGTTTTATTGATACAATTTATAAAAAACCACCAATGAAAAAAGTTGTAGAACATTTAAAAATCTTTACAAAAATACCAAATTCGATATGTTTTACTCAAAAGATTACGTCAAGAAACTAGATAAATCTCATAAAAACACCAATTTTGGCGCAAAAACGCCTATTAGTCCGGCATCTAGGGCAGTTCGCAAGTCTTATAAAGACAGTTGGAAAACACTTCCTAAGACACCTATATTGAAATGCAAAAGCAAAATTCTCTATACACGACATGCACACAGAACCCTAGTCAGGTCCTGGACTACTCTTACGTTTGTTTATTCCTACCTACTTTTCCTGACGAAAATGTATCTGATACAACTCACTGTTTGCAGGCCGTAACGTGATTGGCATGAGGGTAGCTCGTCTCATGAGGGGAAGATACTTGGTCCATCCATCACATTGTCTGCAAGGATTCGCCAACCAATTGCCCAGAGGCACTATGTTTCGTCGTGCCTTCTACCTACTTTCCATGTATGCCATCTCGTACGACGTTAAGTTTCATCTGGCTCTGGGAAGAGCTGTGGTTGTTAATGGGTAATGCTTGTATTATGAAATGTATATTTATGTTTGTTGGGGTTTACAATAATTTATTTTGCATTTTATAGGCCCTATATGCATATATTTTCAATAACAGTTGAATTTATCTTATGTAGAATCCTACAACTATTATACGTCGGTATACAGATCTCTGGGTAAAAGTAATCAATGTTTTAATTTGACATCAATAAGTGCCTTAGCAATTTATTAGTTAATTACAAATACACAATCATATAAGTATTGTGGCCCAGGTATTGGTGGGACATGCTGACATTTGCCCTAGTCCAAGGATACACCGCCGAAGACGCCCCTGACGTCACCGCACCTGATCTTCAAATACCAGCTGACCTCTTTCGCCCGGATATAATCTTCTTCCTTAACTTTCCAGACAACCTCCACTTCAATCAAGTTACCACTCGGAGTCCTGTCACCTGGAAACCAAGGTAAATGAGATACTAATCGTCTGGTTAATTAACTGCAGAAGATAACTGAAAATTAGCATTACTCCTATTACTGGAGTATAGAAAGAGTTATTGCATTTTGCAAAAACTGAGATATTTAAATTCGCTAGTAAAGTACAATGTGTTAGTTTACTCTTACCCTTACTCTTGCCATTGACTATGCAATGCTCTTACCTTACAGGGTTCTGAAGATGTACAGAGATCTCCAAGATAAAGGAGAGCCGGTGTCAGTGTTGAATCTGAAGGGACTGTACCGACCCACTATAGACGCTGTGTACGAGACTGTACTGAGAAATCTATCTGGCACCAGGGACGTATGGTTCGAAGATGGAAGAGTTAAGTTTGACTACGATGGTGAAGGGAAAGATGAAGAGTGACTAAAGAAACTTCACGAACCACTATAGAGACCATTCACTTGACTATACAATTCATCTTGCATCAAAAATCTTAGTTCAGTGGTAAAAATATTAATTGAAAATTGTAAAGCTTTAAAAATACTAATAACATTGCAAAATAAAATTCTTAGGAACGAAACTGCTTAGAATAATCCTTCCATGCTTGGAAGGTGAATCAAAATAAACTTAATGTGTAAAATTACAAGGTGTGTTGTAAATTAGTTCCCCGTCATCTATGAGATCTTGATATTGATGAATTATGATAGCCTTATCAGTTTGTTGTAATTGAGTTAGAACCACATTTGGTCAGCAAATTACTAGTTAAATCAGTAACATAACTTGATGGTAACAAGAATTACAGTGAATATGTTTTTAGTTTAGTGAAATAACTTAAGTAATATTTACAGAATAACAATAATAGTCATTCTAGCATAGTTTCAAACAATCAATTACGGTCCCTTGGAGTAATGATAAACCACTATTAAGTCATTTCTATGAAATGGTAGACAAGCAACCTTCATGGTGTAAGAAACCTCGTTTAGTTAAAGAGTTCTGTTCCTTTCAGTTTGTCTCAATACTAAGAAAATAATATAGTTTGGGAAGAAGTTTTCTGACTCAGGCTCCTGATTGAAGAACTTGAAAGTAACTTTGTTTTTCCTCAAACAAGAAACTTTAACATTGGAAACCATTTCATGGGTGTAGGATCTGTATGTAAAAAAACTGGAGTAAATGTATGAAATCGGTAGTGAAAGAATACATTATTGTTTATTTAACTACTGTTACTACATAACAAAATGTATACCTACAACACTAAATAATGCGCCTAAATGTTCAAAAGCTCAACCACTGTTCTAGTTTGCTTGTTTAGGGATATATTTTAACCTAACTTGGAAATGTTGTTTATTTAATAGTAAGCTATCAACATTGCAATAAAAAACACACCTCAATATCTTCCCTGTAGCTGCAAACCTAAGTACTCATTAAAATTCATGTTATTTAAATAGAAAAATCTGACAACTTTTAGGGAATATTTTAGTAGAAATACAGCAAGGTAAATGAAAAGTCGCTTAGTTTTGCAGGTTTGCTGCGGCGGGGGTATTTTTTATGCTGGCTTCGAACCCCAGCTTATGAGGCTGCGAAGCACAGAGTTTAAAGCCCATGAAGCTGGGTAATATTTTTACCCTCTCCAGGGACAGATATGTACGTACAACATATTTAGTGTTTGTGGTCTTACAGTAGTGTGAGACGCTTGAGAGAATTTGATCAGAGGTTTATTTTAATCTGAAAGCAGTCGGTTTGTGCGAGGGCTCACTGTGGATTAGACACAAAGGTCCCTCTATCAGAGGTGTAGTGGTGTGTTCACATAGAGGCGATAGCATATTAGGTCTTACAGTTCAGGTTAACATTACGCTCAAAGACCACTTCATTATATACTAACGAGCTGTTGGCCCGTCCTACGTACGGGATTGAGAAGTCAACAAAAACTGAAATTATATTAATATTTCCATTTCTAATCCAAGCAAAGTTCAAGCAGTTAACCATTTCCTGAAAACAAAAAGCTGCCAAGATAAACTAAAACATGTACACATTTTCCTATTCCTTCCTCAAAAAGTTGAACAGAAAAATAATTTGCATAATTTTTCCTTTGAATACTCGGGGGCAGAGCCTCGATTTGTATACATCAGTCGTTATAGAATCTTGAATCTTACTTATTTTCTATATTCAATGCCAACATCACAGAATAATAAACTAACCTGTTAGTTTGAAAGACAACTTTTATATTCAACCAGCTGTTAGTTAAAACAAATTATATTGCACTAAAACAAACTTAAAATTTTAAAGATTGCTCTAAAAAATAAATTAGAACATCTATCATTAAACCATGAATATTTAAATAGTCTGTCATCCTCTTACCCATAAAATGGACGTACAATGAGCATAACATTACACATAGTATAAATAAGTCAACCCTAAGCATGTAATTATTATCCAAATGCTGAATTTGTGACACAAAAGCTGAATGTTTACAGCTGTTATGTTAAGCAAATTATTTTATGCCAAAAGCTAGTTTAGAATCTTAGCGTCGGCTGCTAGACTTTTTAAAAATTAAAACTTAATTTTTAAAAAACTGGGACCCTAAACTAAAATTATGGCTTCGACATTCCCTAGTTCACAAAATTATCTTTCTTTCAACACAAAAATCATGAAAATCCGTCGAGTGGTTGATTCAGAATCGTGAAATAAAAAAACACTGTTTCGTTTTAATATTATAGATAGATAGACTAAAAGACTTCAAACATTCCTTGTTTACATAGATTACATAGCATGTAGTAGTGGCGGTTAGTAACAAAACTTCATCTATAATCTATCCTGGAATTATTTTAGGTCGGTGACGCGTTGAAATAGTTGTAACGAGGTTAAGATCTGGATCTTTACTGTTGTAGTTGTTGGCTCTTGATATTGGGAGAACGTATCGTTCAAAGGGATTTTCCACAGAAGTTCACAAATGGAACGACCAAATTTTTCGAACACTAGATTTAACTTTAATTTAGTTTGTATTCAGGAAAATGTTCGGTGTTTAGTTTCATCCTACTGACAACGTTGAAAGACTTAGTGAAGTAGTTCTCAAAGTACAAAGAATAACAATAGTTTTGTATCCCTCATATTTTCCTGTATAATATAACACAAAATAAAAATTCTTCGGGATATACATTTTTATTAGTTGAGGACCATCGTTGAAAAATAATATCTTTAGCACGGTCGCCAGTAGGCTGAGTAATGGTGTGGTGACATCGAAAGTCAATTGATGCTGAGAGGCATAAGTAACTTTGAACAGATTGAATTAATTTTCCTCTTTGACACTTTCCAGACAAAGCTAGAACGTTTTTTGTGACAAATATTTTCTTTATTCTCCTTATTCAGTTGAATAGTCTTGCAGCAAAACCAATATGAGAGAAATAATCCTGACGTTTTGCTACGTTGAAAAAGCGTAGGTATATTATACAATATTCGTTGTTATTAAAGCATATTTCTCCCAGTGACTTTTCATTTCGTTAATTTTATTGCTTGGATCACATTACGCTGATATAACACAAATTTTATAAAATTCTTATTAGTATTATTTTTTTTATTAAGTGTTTAGAGGTGCTAAATTAATACCCTACATCAATTAAGACACTCCTTTTAAACGTCCTTACTCTAAATTCGTGCTAACTTGGTGTTAATGTAGCAATTGAATTCATGTGTAGTAATTATTTTACTACTGTAATTTTAAAATACTAAAAATCCAACCCAGACTATGAAAAAAACCATCACATTATTTTATTACTCGAAAAGTTCAATCGAGGTGTAATTAGGTAATAATTTCAATAGTCAAGTGTAATTTAGCGTAATTCATTTCTCCTTTTGTTTTAGAAATACTCCATCTTAAAGGTTAAAGTAATAAGCATGAAATTAAGCACATCCATAGTAACCAACCATTAGAAGTATAAATCTGAAATGATACAAATCGGACTAAAGAGACTTTCTCTACAAGAACTATCACATTATTTGCAAGATAACAATAAAAAGGTAAACAAAAGAGTCGTAATCGAATCGTCTAAACTAGCACAATAAAAATACGGAACAAAAGGGAATAAGAAGAACAATAAGATTAATATCGTCGAACATAATTTACTACAATAACCGATTCATTGAATTTAGATAATCCAAATAGCCATTCTATTAATGTTAACCAAATATACCATTGACCTTGGATACTGCAAGGAGACATCTCATTTATGCGAACTAGATTAAGCATTGACTTTGGATACTGCAAGTATACGTCCCGTTTTCGTTAACGAGATGTAGCATTAGGACTTTGCAAAAGGAATAAAATTAAAATGCTAGCTCCACTCAATATTGCAAGCAGACAACTACATTTTACACCTAGGAATAAGTGAGGGGTGATTCCCAAAATTAAATAATGAAAATCGTCCTACTGGGGTGAAATTATACGTATTGAAACTAGAGTGTTTACTTCCTCGCCATTCAAATGTTTGTTTAGGTCAAGTTATGTTAGTTAGCTAGGACTTCTCAAACGAGCAGTACTTTTACCTTAACTTTTACTTTACTTTGAAATAGCGAACATACAAATGTAGGTAGTTTACATTATTTACTCGTGTGGTTTGACAACAATTTTTTGTTATGACTAAGTATATTTTTCTGATTGCCCGTTGTTTATATTTGTTGTATTATCTTTTATTCACATACTTATAATGAACAACAAAGTCATGTCTTTATTTAAAAGTGTATTCAACACACGACAATACTATGAAATTAGCAAATCAACTAATAGTAATATTTTCTATGCATTATATTTGTTGATCACAAAATACCCACCATTACTTCAGTCTGGTAGAAGGCATAAAGGCAAACACAACCAAACATGTGGGGCCTTTTTCATAATAAAGTACAAACAACAAGTAGTAAATCAGCTGATCGCCAAATGCATATTTTTTTGCTAGATTTTCATTGGGCGATCAGCTGATTTACTACTTGTTGTTTGTACTTTATTATGAAAAAGGCCCCACATGTTTGGTTGTGTTTGCCTTTATGCCTTCTACCAGACTGGAGTAATGGGACGTCAAAGCAGCCTTGGTTGCCTAGCAGTGTTTTAAGTGCTTTTCTGTGTTTGGCCACAGGAAACATTGCTGTTTACAAGAACCCTCAACCTAATTTGATTGATACTAGGGATACGATGTAGCTTTGCATTTTGAATTGGGGTTTTTATATCGCTTGTATAATTTGTATCTAAGTGTAAAAATAAAATTCCTGTATACGTTTAATGGGGAAAAGCTATTCAGTAAGGTGCATGTTTCAGTTAGTTCAGTTATTTAGTTCAACTGCAGAAAATTCGATTTTTTGTGACTAAGGAAATAAATTGTTTTTTCTAAAAACTTTAACATATTTTTATCGAATAATGTGCTCCATTATTCGGTTTTGTAAAATATGTTTATGTTCAAGTGTTTTGCCCAAACACCTAAAGAAAAAATGCCTTTGGAAATCACTGATATCTAGTAGTATTATGCAGAAGAAAGTTTGAATGATTGTGAGTACATTGTCTGTTTCTCGTGAAAACCACGTGAGGAATCGAGCTGAACCTTTGTAAGAATCAAGCCAATATGTCTCAGATGAACGTACAGTAT